GGGGGGGGGGGAGATGAGTGTTAAATGAGGAGGTGTTTGGTGGTGTTTAGTTTGCTTTTAGGTCTCTGGGGCCGTCGTTCATGGCGATGTTTGGTTTTTTTTTTTTTTTTTTTTTGTTTATTTGGTTCATTGGTATTGGGAGTTGAAAAGGAGTTGGCACTGGGATGGGATGGACTGCATTGCTAGGACGGTAGCTTCATTTGATATTGTTATATGCATTGCTTTTTGTCAGTTTAGCTGCTTTTATGGTTTTTGGTATCCGTTGATGGGATAGTTATCATGCGTCTTGCGTCGAGCTCTTGAATTTGCTGTTGATTTGACTGCTTGGGACCAACTTCAAGTCGATCTGGCTGCTAATAACTGATGCCCTTTGCAGAATACCGCCTTGACATGCCCGAGCCCGAGCCCGAGCCTGAGCTCGTAGCACCCGCTTCTGCCGTCTGATTATTGCTAGTTTCCCAACTGAAGATGACGAGCAGCTTCTTTCAAGGAGGTGACGTCGGAAACAAACTTGTGGGGAAAGCGGGAACGGGAAGAAGTGGGGATTGTGTGTGGTTGACATGAGGATGAAGGCACGGGAGGATGGTGGTATTGCATATATGCAGTTGGGGTTTTTCTTTTTGCTTTGATATCATCATCATCATCACTTGCCCAATCGGCTCTGATACTGCGCCAAAACACTCAAATTCAACCACAATTCATCGAGAGATTCCACTCCTCTACGAGAACTTCATTGAACGAAGCCAGAGCCAAGCTTTCTGTCAACGGGCGCCAAGACCTCCGCTTGTACCTGGTCGAGCCGGCTCTATCCCTCCACCGACCAAGTTCACTTGCAGCCTTTTCTCCCGAGCGAGACTTTTGCTCCGAACACACCGACGCCGGGAGCTTCGGGGTTTCAGAATAGTTGGGTTTGAGTTTCCAAGAATAGCAGTTGATCGACAGACACCGAGGGAGAGAGGGAGAAAGAAATGACTCTCACCGTGTTAACCGACGACCAGATCTCGGGGCTGGTCTCCAACTTGACCAAGGAAGAGCTCCAGAGGTTTATGGGGGTTTTGAGAGGGGCGTTGCACGAGTATTCAACCGCCACGACTGTCCCCTCTAAAGAAAATGCTGCCGCCACCGCCGCCCCGGAGATCCACCAGCCGGAGAGGACGTCGATAAACAGCAAGGCCACCGGGGCCACGACGTTGTTCATGCCGAGTTCTAGCTCTGTCGGGACGGGGATGAAAGGTATTCCAGCCCCTGGTTCTACTTGTCAGGGGGTTTATGCTAATGCGATGTAGTCGTCACGTTGACCTCCCCTTCCGCCGAAGGGGATGAAGACGCACGCCCAAAGGAAAACATCAAACCCACCGGCGCGATAACGTTGTTCTCACCTCACGGCACGCCCCTTGGATTCCTCCACGCCTCTACTCTGACGGCCTTTCGCACCGCGTTGGCTTCCCTGCTGCTCATCTCGAAGCGAGACCCCTCGTCCCATTTGAAAACCATTACCGTTTTTGGGACTGGTGCCCAGGCGTACTGGCATATCCGGCTCTCTTTGCTTTTGCTGGGGCAGCATATCCACCAGGTCAACATTTTGTCCCGGTCGTTCTCGCCGCCGGTGTCCTCCCTCCTCAAGTCGTTTTTGACATGTCCAAACAGGGAGAAGGAAGGCTGGGAAAACACCCAGTTTTCGGTTTTGACGCCGGCGCATAATGAGTATGAGAGGTTGCTGAAGGAGCAATTGCTGGAGTCAGATGTGATTATCTGTTGTACTCCGAGCACAAAACCGCTGTGGGATGGGGGGATTCTGACCAGTCATGAGGGGAGGCAGAAGGGGAGGTTGATTGTGGCTATTGGGAGTTATAAGCCGGATATGCAGGAGATTCCGCAGAGGTGATACAGCAGGCGTTGAAGAGGCATCATCACGGGGTGGGGGGGAAGCATCACTGGCATTGGCATAAGCATGCCGAGGAGGGGGGGGTTGTGGTTGTTGATACGTTGGATGGAGCGTTGAAGGAGGCGGGGGAGTTGATTCGGGCGGGGTGCAGGCCCGAGATGTTGGTTGAGTATGTTTGTTTTTTTGTTTGTCATAGTTGAGCACTGCTAATGTGGAAATAGGTTGGGCGAGCTGGTGATGCTTAATGATTATCACGAGCACCGTCACCATCGGCATCACAGGGATGAGAAGGAGAATAACAAACAAGAGGTTGGGGAGAAGGGCGAGGAGCAGGATAAGGATCACCGGAAACTGGCCAAGTGGCTTGCGGAAGGGAATGTCATTTACTAGAGTGTGGGCTTGGGGCTGATGGATTTGAGTGTCGGGATGGAGATTGTGAGGTTTGCAGGGGAGAAGGGCGTGGGGAGTCGGATCGACGGGTTCTAGGGGGGCTTTTTGAGGCCTGGTTCGCTGCGGTTTTAGACACCTCATCGCTTTCAGGAAGGAATGGATTGGTTGGCGGAACAGAACATGGGTTTGCCGTGGGGGATGGAGTGAATTTCTATGTCACTTGAGACGTACATGCATGACACATTGTCTGGTTAGCAAGGGCTCTCTTTTCTGTCCACAGCGTGCGGTATACCCATCACCTACTCGTCTTGTCTGTCGCTCCAAAATCCCCGAACTCTCTCTCATCCCTCACGCTCACCTTGACCATCACCCTCTCCTTGGGCTCCAGGATATGCACCGGCAGCACCCCGTCCTCCTTCTCCGGGATCTTCCCGCCTACAACCTCGATATCAAACTTGTCACCACCATGGCAATCAACAACCTGACAACAGCAAGGGCAAAATTCCTCCCCGGACAGAGCGTCTGCCCCCCACCAAAAGCCCTAAAGTTCTTGAAGCTGACCCCCTTCAAGAACCTCTCCGGTTTGAATTCCCTCGCGTCCTCCCCCCAGTTTTCCTTGGAGGCATGTATCGTCCCCCCCGAAATCTGCACCATCGCGCCCCCCTGGAACCAGTACTCTTTTCCTTTGACTTCAACCTCGACCCCCTCCTTTGGGACCACCACCCTTGTGGAGTAAGTGTCGCTCCCAAGCCTCAAACACTCGTTCACCACCGCCTCCAAGAGCAGCTTGGCATCCCTCAACCTTGCTTCGATCGTCTTGCTGTTGGGATCAACAGCCAACTCTGCCCTTAATCCCCCCAGGAGTTTTGGGTCGTTGAACGTCTGCAGCACACCCCAGAAGCTCGTCGTGGCGGTGTTGACGATCCCGGCGAATAGGAAGCTTACTTCGGACCTGGCTACCTCTTGTAGCTCCCACCCGTGTTTCGCGGCCATGGCTACCCGGTTGGCGATGATGGGTGCCACGTCTGCCTCTTTGTGTTTTCCGTTTCGGAGCCAGGCTGCAAAAGACTGGACTAGTTTCTCCCTTCCGCGGTAGGCCTTCCTCGCCGTCACCTGGGGACAGATGCCGACCAGTAGCCCGCCGAGGCCGTGGTCGAATTCCCAGAATGACCCCTCTATTCCCTCCAGGGGGTTTGACGCGCCGTAGAGGCTGCGGGCTGTGGCCAGGGCGACGAGGTTCCTTGTCCAAGCGAGGAGATCAATTTCCCGTTGGGAGGGAGGGGGGCTTTCC